CCGGCTTGCTGCTCAAAAAGGCCACCCGCTCCCCCACGTGCAGTTTAGATTGTGAATGCGCAGCAGGACGTCCCTCGACTCTAAAAATAAATAAAAATGAAAATAAAAAATTGTTGGATTTTGCCTAGGTATTGCAACATTGCAACACTTGCTAGAAACTTCTAGCCATCCCATTTGAAAAGTCAAGGTGTCCTTCCTAACCACCCGACCAAAGATCCATTTATAGTCATGTACCAATAATCACCGAAATTAGATATAACCCCAAAAGGAGATACGAATTCCAAGTCTTGGAAATCTTGTAACTTGGACGATCTTGGTCGGAATAAGGCGATCTTGGTATCGTTGGAAAGATGTGGATTTCTCATGCATGCTCAAGCATTTAAACTTGGAGAAAACACAGAGATGATAAAAACCAACAGCCATGCATAATGATTTATGCTCATGCAAATTATGCTAGCACGAATGGCACGAGCACTCGGCAGGACGTAAGGATGACATGCACTCAAGACGACGTGCTTTCAACAGTAGCAATAGAGTTGCAGTAGTAGTCGTCCCTTTCTCAGCCTAGTCAAAACTATGAACCATGGCTGTGTTCTCGTAACAGGCACGAGAGGAAAGTTTCACCTCAAGTTGTGACAAAAACAAGTAAGAACAAACAGGTTTTACGAACACGAACATGTTTTGCCTACTCCATTCTACCTTTCTCGATTCTGTACCGGGCTCTGAGCACGAACAGATTTCGAGTTTCTCTCCAACTCATTTTGTGACGTGGCACGCTCTCGATGCGTCGCCGAAATAAATTGAATAATCGTGCGCGAACGATTTCCATAGTGCCGATCCGAGAATGTTTCTTCGTGCCATTTCCAAACAGTAGCAAAGATATCCGTTCGATTTGGGGGAGGGAAATAAAGTCGATGACGATCAACAACTCGATCATCATAAATTCGATCGATTGCGAATAACAAAGTTTGGCCGCACGAGTGAATGCAATTTCATTTCGTCGGCTAATAGCTGCTTGTCACGTGCCAAATCACCCCCTTCTACGAAGCTTGAATAACCCCCTGAGTTCGACGTGTTACCTGTGGCAAGCGCACGAGCTGTTACACTCACGGCTCGTGCTCACTGACAGCTCATGCTCAGTTCGCCAATCTCTCACCGTAGTAGAAAAGTTGGTTCAAAGCCCTAAGTTTCTGGCTACTACTACGTAATAGAGCCGGAAAGGGCTATGAGAACGGGTCGGCTGGGGCCTATGGGAACGCTGCCTCGGTCGCCCTGTTGGACTTAGCCAACAGAGCATTTGCCTTACTGCGCTGGAGCATCACCGACCAGCATTGTCGGTAGTGTGCAATGAGCTTGGAGGCCACCGTAGTGAGCATCCCCTGTCTGTGCTTCTTCTTGGCCGCTTGGGTCCCAAGAAGACGGAAGCATCTTTGGGTGTCCTTTGGCAGGGCCCCATAGGTTTCACCCCGCCAACCCAAACACCCCCACAAACTGGGGGCGGCCTTCATACAGCGCCCGTTTCCCCCTTGCTGCCACCAACCCTTCAAGTAGGTCGTCCGTCACTCCCGCTAGGCTCCACGCCAATGATTTGGCGAGGTTGCAACACAGTCCGCATCTGCGTAACTCCCTGCGGACCAGGTTCAGCGCCCTCACCGCTTCAGCTGGTTCGCCGACGATGGTGATGTCATCCACGTACACCATTACTACTGTCGAGGGACACAATCCCGCAGCCTCGAGTAGCACGGGATGGATGGCCGCGGCAAAGAGCATGGGGCCTAGGGGATCCCCCTGTCACACCCCCCTCGCGCTTTCAATGGACGATGTCTCGAACCCCGGGGGTCCAGCAAGAGGCATGATGGGGAGCCATAGAGTGTGCGGACGAGCGGCAGGATGGGGTTGGTGCCCGTCCACTAGAGCGTTGCTAAGAAACTCGCATAGTTGAAGGCGTTTTCGACATCTAGTTGAAGCGCGATCCTCTTCGGGTCGTCCGCGAGTAGTGCACGTGTCGAGTGGATTACACTCTCCGCTCCTCCCCGCACTGCTACACCAAATCGAACAGGGAGGAAGAATTCTCGAATCGGCCCATTTAGCTCGTGGAGTGCTACCTTAGCAGTCAACCGAAGTAACGCTTCGCCAATTGCTATCGGCCGCACGCCTCCTCCTGGCTTTTCTAGGGCTATTAATCTAGACGGTAGTAGGAGTTCCCCCAGTGGTTCATCCAGGTGCGCGCCGAGAAGGTTGTTGATGATCTTGTGCAGCAGCGTGAGTACCTCTCCATTTGCTAAGGCAGGGTCGCGTAGGTGTTCGAAGCAGGTCCCAGATGGTCCCGCCCCAATGCCTTTCGGGCATTTCGCCAGTACTTCGCGAAGTCCATCCACCGTTGTTGCAAGAGTCAATGATGTGTGGCCTGTAACCCAACCTGGGATCGCAGCTTCAGCACGTGGGTGTTGGGATTCAGGGCTTCCAATGTGGACGAAAAAATGTCCGCGAGCGGTGATAACTGCAACGCTGCTACTGCTTTCGCCAATTTCGCTTTCCTCACTCAGCCCTACGCTCTCGCGCAGATTCCCTCTGGGTCTGGCTGGTGTCGGCTCGGTTGGGGGTTCTGCTGGATCACTGGCTTGGGAGTAAAGGGAGGCCCATTCCTCTTTCCTGAATTGCAGGAGTCTCGCTTCAACTGCAGAGTAGCAATTTCCTGGAAGGTTACATGTAGCTGCCCGGAGTGTTAGCCTTGGTAGAAACAGCAACACACGCCAAGCCCCTAGGCAGGTGAGGTATTTCGAAAGTCGAAGCAGTGATATCGTCAGGCAGTAGCTGAAGGCGTCGAGGATGGTCGGTGGAAGCCTCCGGACTAGGAATGGTTGCGCACTACTGCAAAGTGGTCCCATATCCCATTCTTCATTTTCTCGCCACTTGTCCGCATCTTCTGCGATTTCCGATGGTTGACGTGCTTTGCTGGCGGAATTGTCAGCCTCTCCTATCGCTGATTCCTCCACCTCTGCTGCCACGTCTCCTCATTCCCTCCGTTGCCCTGGGTTCACTCGTTGGCTGGCCGCCCCTGGCTCTGCCTCTACGAAAACATCCTCTGAGCTGGCCTCCCTAGATTCCATATAATCCACATCGTCGCCCTCAGATAGCGTCACTCCTACTCACACGCTGCATCTCACGTAGGGTGGCATACCTCACACGGACGACACCGATCAACCTTCTATCAAGCAACGTATGGACACAGTGGGGCAGGGACTTGCTAGCCACACTACTAGCTTCGTGTGGCATCCGCTTCCCCACAAGCGACGACGAACATGCTCGAGTTTGGGAGCAGTCTTCTCTACCACCGTCTCTGGGCGGAATAGGTCTTACCGATCCTACAGTAGAAGGCATCTACGGTTTCCTAGCGAGTTTTACCCAGGCAGCGCTCTTACTCACCTCACTGCCCTCGAGCCCGACGATATCCTGTCCACCGCCAGAAACCATATGCTACTGGCACGAGAGACCAACTCCCCCCTTCATGCATGGCTGACGGAGTGCGAAGCGACAATTCCTAGAGAAGCACTAGAGATACTGGAGAAGGAGAGGATGGAGCAAACAGGGGTGAAACTGCAACACGCCATGGCGGTACAGGTGCAGGGGAGCAGGTATGCCAGACAAGTACAGGAGTCTCGGCGCATGAGTCTAAACCCACTGTCAGGACACACGCAACGCCTGTTCTCCCTGACAGGCTACGGTAGCGGTGATTGGCTTCTCGCCATCCCCATTGCGACAAACAGGAGAATGGGCCCTGAACACTTCTCCAACGCCCTCCGTTTCAGGCTAGGGCTGCCTTTTTCTACGCCGGCTAAGTGCGACTGTTCCAACCACACCGTCATCACAGACCCCAGACTGCCAAACCACCTCTTCCGCTGCGGGACAGGCAAGCACCGTATCAACACGCACAACGAGCTGCGCGACGCCTGCATCAGCATGGCAGAGGACGCAGGGTCTATTGTCCACGGAGAATCGGCGGCTTACTGCCCCATTGAGGAGCAGACGGCAGATCACGATCCGGGACAGGAGCTCAGGGGCGGTCTATATCTGTGACGTTACAATCACAGACCCCATCAGCACAAGGGACCCCGAGGCGGTAAAAGGGCGCGGATGGGCGGCGAGAGAGCAGGCATACAAGAAAATCAAGCATTACGAGGCAAGGCCTGACTCAGTGGGCTTCTTTCCTCTGGCGGTTGAAACCTATGGCTGCCCCTGTGCAGAGGTCCCTACCTTCCTGAAGCTGTTAGCAGACACGGCGGCTCGGCGACACTTCAACGCCGACCCTCACTCCTTCCAGGCCGCTAAGTTTCTGCATCAGTTTCGGCAAAGGTGGTCCGTCGCACTCCAGAGGGCACAGTCGGTTGGGAACCTAATGAAGTCAAGCCTGGCTGCAGCTGCAGAGAACCCGCCTGTAGGGGGTGCCCACACGGTGATGTCCCTCGGGGACTGCTTCGCCGTGCTAGAGCCCCTCACAGAGTTCGGTTAGGGGGTGTTTGAGAGGGAGGGGGGCATAGGTAGTTTGTTAGTCGGTGGTTGTTTGTTTGTTTGTTTGCTGAAATCTTAGCTAGTCTTATCACATGCATGCATGTACCTTTCTTGCTCTATTAATACACGGACCATTAGAGAGAGAGAGAGAGAGAGAGAGAGAGAGAGAGAGAGAGAGAGAGAGAGAGAGAGAGAGAGAGAGAGAGAGAGAGGAATAGCCTCTGCCCTCAGCCCCTAGCCTCTGCCCTTGCCTCTAGGCCCTACTTAAGGCCTTCCTAAGGCCGTTCTCCTCATTGTTTGGCGGCTGAAAAGTTTTCGCTCGCGCCGGCCGCCTACGGCGGCCGACGCTCGACGGCGCGGCCTTCGGCCGCGCGTGCGGGGTGGCAAGTGCAAACACAAGCGATTGATAATAAGCAAGGACATACATGCAATGGCGGATCCTACTGTGCACTAGACACACATGACAACAATGGGGCAATCGGAGCCCGCGACTACATGTGGTGAGCTCCAAGGGCGTGAAGAACGCCCGTCAGGGAGCGCCACAGCTCCCGGACCACAAGTGTGCTTGCGCCGATCGCCGCGGCTCCTGATCCTGCGCGCAAGTGCCGATTCAGGCCCCGGACAGCCTCGTCCAGCTGTCCCGCAGCAGCAGCGCCACCCTCCGCGGGCGCAGCCAACACGGGCGCCAGCAACGCTGCGAGCTGGTCTGCCGCATCCAAACACGTGTCACGCTGGCGGCCGCGGAAAGTGTCAGGAGGAATCACGGGGAGGGATGAGTGCGCGATCACCTGAATCAGAAGCAGCGCGTGGAGGCTCTCCGTGAGGCGGTGGAGCTGGCCGAGGGTCGCCTCTGGAACACGCGTCTGCGGAGGCTGCAGCGCTTCCGTCAGAAACAGTAGCGGCTCATCAGCAGCAATGACGTGGGACGGCTGAGCCGCAGCGCCACCCCCCGCAGCAACAAACTCCACTCCCGCAACAGGCGGAACAGGTGGCAGATGCAGACGAGAGCCGGGAGCAGGCGCCGAAAGAGAAGGAGAAGGCGATGGGGCGAGGACAGGAGGAGGAAAGGCAGCAGCTGGCGGAGGGTCTACGGGAGGCCCAGTCTGACGAGGAGCCACGTACGCTGGCGCGGCGCGCAGTGAACTGCTCTGGCTCTGCGCCGCCCTCTCCTCGCGCACGGCACGCGACACCTCCTGCTGAAGATCCGCCATTGTCACAGGCGGGCGGAATGCCCCGCGGGGACCCCTCCAGCCCCCATTGCCACTGTGACGAGCAGGCCACTGAGCCTGCTGCTGGTAGCGCCGGGGAGAGTTGCGCCGGCGCCGCGTCGACTCGCGCTCCTGCTCGGGTGCAGGAGAATGAAGGGGTGATAGTCGGCGGTCTGGCGACTGGGGACGACTCGGCTGCACTACAGGGGCCGCCGGCAGCAGAGCGGGAGCAGGCTGGTCCACGCCCGGTGGCGCAACCATCGGAGCCGGGCCGACAGTGGTGGCGGACGCCGCCTTCGGGGAAGAAACAGACGCCGGCGCAAGCTCGCCGGGGACAGAAACGGCAGGTGCAACGGGGGCGCCAGGGACAGGGACAGGGGGAACAGCAACTCCCCCAGCAGGAGCAGACGCCGCCGGCGCAACAACGGGAGCAGGGGGAACAGGAGCGACAGGCGGAGCAGGAGGAGCAACAACCGGGGCAGACGGGCCAGCCTCGCTCACGTCTTGGGGACCCGCGGATACGAGGGGAAGAGTCTTTTCACCGTCTATTGTCACGGGCTTCGGAGCAGACGGCGGCGGGGACCCCGTCGCCGTGGTCCACGCTCCGGAGGCAGACGACGGCTTTTCGAACGCAACCGACGCAGCGTCAGCGCGCATTGGCGAGTAATCGGTCACTCCAGCAATCACCATCGCGAGGCCGAGGAGCGCGAGGCGGAGGGCGAGAAGCGGCTAGCGGACAGGGAGGAGGTCCGGAGAACGGCTATCAGTCGGAGGCGCGTAGGGCTTTAACCAGGCTAGATAATGAGGATGACGAAAGAAGGGACCCCTCTTATAGGGAGGAGCCCATGCCTGCGAGCGAAGACGAAGGGACGGAAGGAGAGGAAGGAATAAGGGAGAACGCGGGGAGGACGGGAGCAGGACCAAGGCAGTCCCGTGGCGAGCAAAGGGACCCGGCTCGTGGACCGTCCGATGCCGATCGTGCGGGCGAGATTCCAACAACACCACCACAAGCGAGGACGAGCCACACTAGGCGAAATCGGGCCGCGACAGACACGGCTGCGGGGCGAGAAAATTCCAATTTCCCCCGCTATTTCACGCCAGAGGAGCTGGCGATGCGGGCAGACTGGTTCGCGGACATCGCGAACTGGGATATCCCTGCCCTCTGCGACAGTCGACAGCCAGCCCTGGCACGGCGGTTACCGCCAAACTTGTGTCAGTTGTTTTCGCTGGCGCTACTGACTCCGTTACTCCACCTGTCACGAAACCCGGAAGCCGAGGCTGGTTGGCGCCTTCTCCTCTTTCTCCCGCGTCTGGCGCTTCGCCAAAACTCGCCACAGAGACTGAACTGGCCCCAGATCAAGGCCCGGCTCCGAGCCTTCCAGCGTGGCGAGTGGGACCAACTGTACAGGGAGGCGATTGACGCAGTCAACACACCCGCGCCGCCACGTCATCAACCCGATGCTACCGGGGTCATTAGCCGAGCCGAGGGCTTGGCGAAAAGGGGCAGTCTGCGCCGAGCCGTGTTGGCGTTAGAGTCAACGCCAGTCTGCAAACCGACTCCAGAAATACTGGACGAGCTCCGACGGAAACACCCAAGAGCCGAACCAGGGACGAAAACGTGGCCACCCAGACAAGAGTCAAAATTGTCCATCACCCACGCGGATTTCGCCAAACTGCTGGGGATGTGCGAGAACGGGGTCGGTGCCGGACCTTCGGGGACAACTTTCGAGCACATGCGCGACGCGGCAATCACGAACGGACGAGTCAGCACCCATCTGCACGCATTGATAAACACCATTCTGGGGGGCAACCTTCCAGGACCGGTGGCGGACCTACTGACAGCCTCGCGACTCATAGCCCTAGCCAAACCTGGTGGGGGTGCTCGACCAATTGCCATCGGCGAGTGCATCACCCGGCTGACAGCCAAGGCAGCCCTCGCAGCCATGGGCGATGCTGCACGTGACTACTTCCTGCCTCTACAGTATGGGGTGGCTGTGCCAGGGGGAGCCGAGGCAGTTATCCACGTGGCACGGGCGTATCTGGACAAGCTACCCAACAGCCTGGTACTGCAGACCGGCATCTCGAATGCTTTCAACAGCATCTCTCGACAAGCCATCGCGACGGCGTTACAGGAGCCCGGGCTTTCGCCACTAGTGCCGCTGGTGAAACTGACCTACGGTAACCCGTCCAAGTTGCACCTCGACGCCAATTTCGAATGCGACCCACTGACCAGCGAACGGGGCGTACGGCAAGGTGACCCACTTGGCCCTTTATTGTTTGCGGCGGGAATACACCCAGCACTTCGCGACACCGCCGAGGCATATCCCCAGGTGCTTTGTCTGGCCTACGCAGACGATGTCACATTCCTGGGGAATGCGGCGGACACTGTAGCTGCATTCAATCATTTCACCGAGAGTCTAGCGCACCTGGGGCTAACACACAACGCACAGAAATGTGCAGCCTGGAGCAGGGAAGCAGCAGTGAAGGACCAGCTTCCGCGGGGAGTGCCTTTTTCCCAGCACGGCGTGCGTTTGCTTGGCAGCTTCGTGGGTCCTGACAGCGGGGCGTCGCAGTTCCTGTCGGGTCAGCTACGGGAAATGGCAAAACCTTTGCCACTCCTTGAGAAAGCCGACCCCCAGGTAGCATCACTATTGCTCACCCGCTGTATCTCGAGGCGGGTGGCATACCTCACCAGAACGACGCCGCTCCACCTTCTGCCTCACGACACCTGGAGTCAGTGGGGGATGGATCTGCTTACAGCGCTGCTGACAGCATGCAGCATCCGTGTTCCCACCTGCCGCGCTGAACAAGCACGTGTCTGGGCGCAGGCGTCACTGCCGCCGTCATTGGGGGGGATAGGCATTACTGACCCCCTAATCGAGGGAGTGTACGGTTACGCGGCGAGCTTCACACAGGCCGCGCTCTTTCTGGCATCACTAGAAGGCGCCCCTGATGGCGCGCTGACGCAGGCCCGGGACCACATGCTGCTGCCTGCAGACGTCGCCACGCCTCTCCACGCGTGGCTTTCGGAGTGCGAAGCGGCTTTACCAGTTGACGCTCGGGAGATCTTGGAGAAAGAGCGGCTGGAGCGATCAGACACCAGACTCCAGCACGCATTGGCACTGAGGGTACATGGGAGCAGATATGCCGTGCAGGTCAAGGAGACACGACGGATGGCACTGAACCCCCTGTGCGGACACACTCAGCGGATGTACTCACTGTTAGGTTACGGGACCGGGGATTGGCTGACGGCTATCCCCATTGCGGCAAACAGGAGGATAGGGCCCACCCACTTCTCTAACGCCGTGCGCTTCCGGCTGGCCCTCCCTTTCTCCACACCGAAAAACTGCGACTGCGCAGACCATATTGCCATCACGGACCCCCGCCTCCCTAACCACCTAATCCGCTGCGGCACGGGCAAACACCGCACCAACACCCATAACGAGCTGCGCGATGCCTGCATTAGCATGGCCCAAGACGCGGGGTTCATTGTCCACAGTGAGTCATCGGCGCACTGCCCCATTGAGGAACAGACCGCTGATTTTACAATGACGGACAGAAGCAGCGGTGCGGTCTACGTGTGCGACGTCACTATTACCGATCCTATTAGCACTAGGGACCCAGAGGCGCAGAAGGGCAGGGGCTGGGCGGCACGGGAGCAGGCGGACAAGAAGATCCAGCACTACGCCGCCCTGCCAGAGACGGTGAATTTCTTCCCTCTGGCGGTAGACACCTACGGCTGCCCTTGTGCGGAGGTGCCAGTTTTCCTGAAACTCTTGGCGGACACTGCAGCTCGGCGCCACTTCAACGCCGACTCCAAATCATTCTATGCTGCAAAGTTCCTGCACCAGTTCAGGCAACGTTGGTCAGTGGCCCTCCAAAGGGCCCAATCTGTGGGCCTCTTGCTCAAACTTGGGGAGGCTGCGGCGGTAGAGAACCCGCCTGTGGGGGGGATTGGAGACGAGTTGCACCTTGGGGACTGCTTTGCAGTCATTGAGCCCCTAGTGGATTTGTAGATTTGTGGTGCTTGTGCCTTGCATGTTAGCTATCTCTGCCTCTATGACCTGCATGCTTGTACTTGGCTGCTATATCAATACAAGGACCATTAGAGAGAGAGAGAGAGAGAGAGAGAGAGAGAGAGAGAGAGAGAGAGGCACCTTGCCTCTGCCCTCTCCCTTAGCCCTCTGCCCTCTCTGTTCCTTAGTATAAGAGGCCTCTCAAGACCTCTTGCCTCTCATTATTCAGTGGTGTGGCAGATTTTTTCGCTCGCGTCGTCCGCCTTCGGCGGCCGACGCTCGACAGCGCGGCCTTCGGCCGCGCGTGAGGGGACGGCAAGGGAAAGGCGCAACAAGCATTAATAAACAAGACATGCATACAAGCGGGGTCATCAACACACGGGCCTAGGAGAGACATGGAGCGGACAAGTGCGGAAGCTACAACCGATCCGCCACCCGCGGATCACGCGGCACCAAATTCTACATCTGATCCGCATCAAGGACGGCAAGCAAGCCCGTCAACGAGCGATGAAGCTCGCGCACCACCACTGTGGTTGCGCCGATCAGGTCGACTGCAGTCGCTGCGCGCACCGCCCGGCGCAGACCACGGAGCGCAGTCCCAAGCTGTCCAACGCCCGCAACTCCACCCCGCGCGGGCGCAGCCAACACGGACGCAAGGAGCTCGGCAAGCCGGTCAGAGGCATCCGAGCACTCGTCCAGAGGGCCGCCTTCCAGAGGCACGCCGCGAGAAAGTGCCGCGTGACAATACACCTGGATCAAGTGAACGGCCCGCAAACCCTCAGAGAGGCGCCAAAGCTGCCCCAGGGACGCCTCAGGCACATCCGCCGAAGGAGATGGCCCCACAAGCGGGTGCACTGGAAGATCAGCATACGCAGGAGCAGGAGCCACAGGCAGTAGAGTTGGATACTGCGGAGTCACCGGTCCTCCCCCCAAAGACACGAACTCCACGCCCGCCACAGGAGGAACCCACGGCAGGCGCAGACGGTTCCCACGTGCAGCAACAGATGGCACGGGAGCGCGAGGAGAAGGAGCGGCAGGACGGGCAGCTGGAGAAGGAACGCCAGGACGTGGCGCCGCATGCTGCGGGTGATTCGGGCCCGCCACGTCAGCTTGAGCGTCACGCACCGCCGACGTTACCAGCTGTCGGATTTCTGCCGGATTCATCGGGGGCTCCTCTGGGGGAGCATTCCATAGCCGCGACCCCCCCACCAGCTACCACGACCGCCGCGACGCGCGGTCCAGTTCCCCTGGGATCGGCGGCCCCGAGGAGAATCCTGTCGGCGCCGCGACGATTCCCTCTCATCATGCAGGAGAGGCGAATGAGGACGGGACGGGCGGCGGCCAGGTGACTGAGGGCGACGAGGCTGCCCGGTCGGAGCAACCGGAGGCGCCACAGGCGTCGACTGCACCTCCGCCAGGCTCGGGCCGGCGTTGGTGGTTAGAGGTGGCTGGTAAGACGGGCCCGCCGCAGCAGCAGAAGGAGCCACGGCGGGCGCAGCCAGTGGCGGCAGGAGGGCTGCCCCAACAGCCGTCAACGACGCCGCGACAACAGGCGCGGATGGAGGCACCTCCGCGGGGACAAGTGGAACCACCAGGGCAGGCTCAGGAAGATGCGCAGTATCAGACGCCGCAGCGGGCGCGGGAGCGGACGCAGGAGCTGACGCCGAGGCGTGCGCGTGAGCAGGCGCTGACGCAGGTGGGGGACCAGGCGCCACAGCGGGCGCAGTTAACGACGCCACGACAGGAGCGGGCGCCACAGCAGGCGCAGGGACCGGGCCAGCCTGAGTCACGGACGACGGCGCAGACCGTGGTGCGTGAGGAGGCACCATCCCCTCAGCCGCCGGTTCTGGGGCCGACAAGGTCGGAAGGGCAGCTGCAGCAGACGCCACGACAAAGGGCCGTGGCGAATACGAATAATCGTCGCCTATCGACAACGGCATCGCGGGGCGGACGAGGCGGCAGACGAGGAGGTACGACGGAGAAGGGAGGGGGACCAGAATGTGAAGAAATGAGGAATGGAATGAACTAGGAAATGTTGTGTACAAATAGGAAACCCTAGAAACTTGTACCCCTTAGTGTCTACCCCACTATAGCCTACACAGACTAAGTCATATATATCTGACACACCCCCATAGGCAAAGTGGGGGAGAACTAGGGGTCACAAGACCAGTCAAGCAAAGCAAGCTCAGGGTGGATCACAACGTCACCACACAGTCCGAGCACCGGTTCAAAAACCACAAGGCCAGTTCACATGCAGGATCATAAATATAAAGGTAAACAAGCAAGAGCAGGTATATATAGATCACAGTACAAGGAAGGTCAAGAAGCAAGCAAGTGAGGCCAAGTGGGCACAAGACCTAGCATCGTACAAAAGCGCTGATGATCACAAGGCTGAAGTGCCTTGGTAAAGATATCAGCAGTGTTGGCCTGAGTGGCCACGTAAGCAAGGCGCAGCTGACCACGCTGCTGCAGCTCACGTGCGAGGAAGTAGCGAAGAGCAATGTGCTTCGTTCTGTGCTCCAGTCTGTGCTCCTGACACAAGTCCAACATGGCCTTGTTGTCGACGTACGGAACTGGAGGAGAACGAGGCGGCTCTCCCAGGTCGGTCAGCAGGTAAGTGAGCCAGCGTAACTCCTGTGCAGCCATGGCCCCTGCGTAGATCTCGGCCTCACAGCTGGAGCCGAGAACAGAAGACGAGCGGGTAGACCGCCACGAAATAGAGCCGGAGCCAAGACTGAAGGTGTAACCCTGTGACGACCGCTGCGTAGCCAAGTCGTCAGCCCAAGAAGCGTCTGCGTGACCAGTGAGGACAACTCGAGCCCGTCCTCCAAGCACGAGCCCCATGCCCGACGTACTGCAAAAGTAGCGCAACACCCTCTTAGCAGCATCCATGTGCTCCTTCCTGTGACGGCCAGGAGCGACATAGCGTGCGAGGATGCTAAGAGGGTATGCAAGGTCAGGTCGAGTGCAGGTCATCAGGTACATGAGGCAGCCCACAAGCTCTGAATACGGGCCACTCGGCTGTACGGACTCATCCGAAGGCAGAGCTGAGAGCGAGTGGCGCGTAGGCAGAGGAGTGGCCTGTGGCGAGGAGTACGTGAAGCGGAAGCGCTGAAGGACCGGTTGCACCATGTGTGACTGAGTCAAGGTAATGGTGCGCTGTGCTCTGTCCCGGGTGATCCGCAAGCCAAGATAGCTTGTCAGTTCACCTAGGTCTGTGCACGTGTGTCTCTTCTGCAGCTCCGACTTCACGTGGGCGAGTGCCTCAGTGTCAGCAGTAGCAAAGACCAGGTCGTCTACGTACACGAGAACGTAGAACGGCGGCAGAGTGGTGTCGGTGCGTAGAAACAGCGACGGGTCAGCAGTAGAAGGAGCAAACCCAAGAGCAGCAAGAGTCGTCCTCAGTGTGTCGTGCCACTCACGGGGTGCCTGGCGGAGACCGTAGACTGGTCGCCGGAGGCTCCACTGGGTACCAGCAGGAAAAGACCCAGTGAAGCCAGGTGGGCGGCGCAGCCAGATCTCCTCGTGCAGGCTGCCCTGTAGGAAAGCAGTGCTGAAGTCAAGAGAGTGGAGCTCGTAGTCACGCTGAGCGGCGACGTGCAGCAGAACCCGAAGAGTGGTCATCTTCGGGGTAGGGGAGAAGGTCTGGAAGAAGTCAACTCCCTCTCGCTGACTGAAGCCTCGTGCAACGTAACGCGCCTTGAAGACAGGCGGAGAACCCGGCGGCCGCTTCACCCTGAAAATCCACATGCCACTGACGATGTTCGGCCCAGGTGGGGGAACCTCGTCGACGTAGGTGCCTGTGGACTTCCAGGAAGCCAGCTCTGCGTCCATAGCTGTCTGCCACTGAGAGGAGTAAGGACCCTCTATCGCCTCTGGGTAAGAGCGCGGGGTCGGGATGTCTGGTGCATCCGGGTCTCCCTCAGGGGCAATCAGCATGGACACGAGATGAGGTAAAGCAGCGCCAAAGCACTCAAACTCCTCCTGTTTGTCCTCAAGGACGTCCGTGCCAAGAGCACACTCACCCCCGACGGACGGAGGACAGACAGACTCAGACTCAGCAACAAGGCTAGCGGCGTAGTCTAGACGACAGGCAGCAGCAAAGTCAACCAGCTCAGCAACTAGAGCAGACGCAGCAGTGGACCCAAACGAAGGGTCAGTGACAGCAGTAGCTATAAGACGTGTGACAGTAGGACTGGCAGCACGAGCGAGGTCTGACGGCGGGTCAGCAACGTCAGGAAGAGAAGACGCAGGAGGAGACGGCAGAGGGACACGCTGTGGAGCAGTGGACGGACGCAGAACCATATAGTGAGTGCCAGGGACAGGAGGAGGACGCTGACGCGGAGCACGACGACCAGCGCGGACAGCGCGGACAGGCGACTCTGGACGCGACTCAGGCGACGCTGGACGAGACTCAGGCGACGGAGGACGAGACTCAGGCTCACGACGCTCCGTAAGTCTACCCGTCGGCCCAGTGTAAGGAGAAGGACCAGGCAGCGGAGAGGCTGGCTGTAACTGTGACTGCGACTGGACAGGCGATGGACTCAGTAGGGGAGGAGTAGGACCAGTAGAGGGCGGGAGGCCAAGAACCTGCTGAAGAAGTGGAACGTAGAACGGCCGCGGCCGCGCAGCGCCTCCTGAACCAGCAGAGACAGCACCAGGACCCTCAGCGCCAGGGTCTCCAGCCACAACTCCCGCAGCACCACCAGCAGCTCCAGCTCCAACTCCCTCAGCAGCACCAGGACGACCACCTCCAGAACCAGCAGCAACAGCACCTCCAGCTCCAACTCCCGCAGCAACACCAGTACGAGCACCTCCAGAACCAGCGGCTCCAGCAGCTCCAGCACCAGTAGTACCTCCAGCAGCACCAGCACCTCCAGCTCCAACTCCCTCAGCAGCACCAGTACGAGCACCTCCAGAACCAGCGGCTCCAGCAGCTCCAGCACCAGCAGCACCTCCAGCAGCACCAGCACCTCCAGCTCCAACTCCCTCAGCAGCACCAGTACGAGCACCTCCAGAACCAGCGGCTCCAGCAGCTCCAGCACCAGCAGCACCTCCAGTAGCTCCAGCACCAGCAGCACCTCCAGCAGCAGGCCCCTCAGCTCCAGCAGCACGGCTACAGCGCCTAGCGTACCACTCACGAAGCTGCAGTGGAGAGAGGGGCTCCCGCCGCAACGGGACGCTCGGAGGACCTCCAGGCTCATCACCCCCAGACTCAGCAACCCCAGGCTGAGCACCCCCAGGCTCAACACGCTCAGGCTCAGCACCCCCAGACCCAGCACCCGCAGGCTCAGCACCCCTAGCAGCACCAGAGTCAACAGCTACCTCGACAGGCTCGACTGCGTCTACCTGGGACACACCTGAGGGGGCAGGACCCTGAGGGGGAAGGGGGTCTACCTGGGGAGGACCTGGTGCAAGGAAGAGCGGCGGGGGGGGGAGTGGGGCAGCGCGGTAGGGGAAGAGACGGTAGTAGGGAACCGACTCGTCAAACGTGACGTCCTGAGAGGATAGAACACGGCGCGAGGTGGGGTGGTAGAACTGCCAACCAGGCGCGTCAGGGGGAAAGCGAAGGAAGGCGCAGGGAACGGCACGAGAGGACAGCTTGTCCGCAGACAAGTCGCGGACGAAAGCCCGAGATCCCCAGACACGGAACACAGACGCATCGCCAACCTTCCCCGTCCACCGCAGAGTGGGGTTGGTCTCCGGCATGGAGACCCGGGGCTGGAGGTTGATCTGATGCGCCGCGTACTGAACCGCGAACGGCCACAGAAAGTGGGGAGCAGCCGCATGGATCATGGACGTACGAGCGACATCCATGACCATGCCAATGCGGTGCTCAGCAATCCCATTTTGCTGTGGAGAGGCCGGAAGCGTGAACGTCTGGCGGATGCCCTCCGCCCGACAGAAGGCCCGCAGAAGGTCGGAGGAAAACTCACCACCTCTGTCGGAGTGCAGACGCACAACAGGAAAGTCCGAGCCGAAGCTCTTCCTGAGCTGGAGACGAGCAGCGCGGATCCAGTCGATCAACACCTCAGTGACCTCACCCTTGCGGCGCAAGGGGAAGACTGTGGTGTAACGCGAGAAGTCGTCAACGACCAGCAGGAAGTAACGCTCGTGACCCTGTCCACGGACGCGGGCTGGGCCCCACACGTCCATGTGAAGAGTCTGCAGTGGGGCCTCTGTCGGAGGAAACTCGGAGGAGTGAGGAGCGACGCGCTGCCGACCCTCGACGCAGGGAACGCAGGTAGGGGCAGGCCCCGGAGGAAGGGGAGGGAGGGACTCAGGAAGACCCGAGACCAGGACACGGGAGACCATGCCTCGAAGACGAGGCAGGGAGGGGTGACCAATTCGGTGGTGCCAAAGAAGAGTCTCGTGGGCCAGGAGGCGGCACGAGCAGGGGGCAGACTCAGGGCCAGACCAGGACGCTGCAGCAAACACCTGACCCGACGCGGCTACCTGACGAGGAGGAGACTCAGTGGTAAGGGTGTACAGGCTGGACCCCGGCCTACGGGTGAACGTGGCCAGGTGACGACCCGTCCGAGCACACGTGCAGTGCGTCACACGCTGGTGGGCAGGGGTGAACTGGTGAACACCCCCATCCTGTAGATCAGCACCCGCCACCAAGTTCGTAGAGAACGAGGGGAGGTACAGACCAGACAGCGAGCCGGACGGAACAGCAGGACACGGGAGGACAGTGGAGGAACTGGCCACAACCGGTCCCCCAGAGGGGTCAGCCAAAGAGACTGCCACCGGCCGACTGAGCGGCGAGAGGGTGGTGCAGTCGCGAAAGAAGGAGCGGGAGGCACCCGAGTCAAGGGTGAAAGTGTGCAAGACATGTGCCGACGCTGTACCTGAGAGAGCAGCCTCACCAGCACCTGGAGCAGCAGACTCACTAGCACCTAGAACAGCAGCCTCACCAGTACCTGGAGCAGTAGACTCA